CGTGCTAGCTTTGCTGGGTTGTGCCTGCCGATCCTTGATCTTGCACACAAGTTTCTAACCACTTGCTGAGGTTAAAAAAATGTAACGTGTTCGCACCGGGGTGCTAATCACGCTTCCGGGTACAATAGGAGTAGCGCACAAGTTGATCTACAACCTATGGGCGTACTGCGCTAAGGGAGGCTCCGAGAGAAAGATATAAAGAATAGGGACTCGAAGAGGTAACCGTTCAACCAAGTATATTAGAAATACTCTGTCCGTCGAAGTCTGCTGTTCTTCTAAGGGACTCAGCGGTCTTTAAATACAAGCTTCGTCCATGTCCTGCATGGACGGATTTCCAAATCCTCCGTGAGCAACCCATAACACAAACTGAGTATCAAAGGATACTCGAAACCACAAGTAAAACAAACTGAGTATCAAAGGATACTCGAAACCACAAATAAAACAAACTGAGTATCATAGGATACTCGAAACTACAAGTAAAACAAAACATAAAACAAACTCAGTATCATAGGATACTCGAAACCACAAATAAAACAAACTGAGTATCAAAGGATACTCGAAACCACAAGTAAAACAAAACATAAAACAAATCCTGGAACCGAACGGACTGAACTCCAGTTCCGGTTACAAAAAACCTACTACATTATAGAGAATGTCAAGGAGAATAGTGCAGTAGTTTTTTCATGTGAATTGATAATTCTCATGTTTCTTTATAATCATTTGAAATTGAGTAATTTTAGTAAGCAAGAGGAGAAAGTGTTAGGGCATGTTTAGTAAAAAAGAAGCCATTGAAAACCATTCCTTTTTGAAAAGGTTTGACCTGTAGAAATGCCGGTTCTTACATAATATGAACTATTAACTTCCAGGGGCTCTATTTGGATTAAGAGTAGATCTTTTGTTATAAGCAACCTCTTATTGATCTCCTATCTCACCTTCCAAATGCATCTCCTTCAAGTATAGCAAAAGTTTACCATTTATTCAAACAAAAAAAATTAAATACTAGTATAGATAGTAGAGGTAATGGCAACTTAGATTCATTTTTAAATAATCATATGAGTAATTGTATTAATATCATGATTAGTTGCCATCACATTGACGTGAAAATAAATAAAGAGAAATATCAAAAGGGAATGGTTGATACGCAACTTTGTTGCCAAACAGTCATTTGGTTGAGCATTTATGAAAAGAGAGGAAATGGCAGATTTGTATAAGACCATGAAAAGGAACCAGTGCACCCAAACAGGGCCTTGCGCACAGCTGCATTTCTCTGCTGACTACATGCTTCATTTAGGTTATGGTTAAACTTATCTTATTATCCAAAGTTTTTTTTGCTTATTAACTTTTCTGTTATGATATCAAATTTTCTAAACTATATATTTCTATTATTTCATAAAAAAACTTATTTATAATAACCCCTGAACCTAAGAGTCGAATACTAGTGGTATTATAGATTCCCAGCTGGGAGCGCCGGCCGTGAAAACATCGGATGTGCTCGAATAAGAGACGACTTTGGAAAAAAATCCAGTTACACAAATTCGTTTGGGGATAATTTTCCCGGATGGAGGATCTGGGGAGGATGAGAATACCACCTTTGGTACAGATGGGGGGGGAAATGCGAGATTCCTCTTGACAAGAACGCATACAAGTCCTTTAGTGACAGCCACGTAGAAAGCTGAGCCCACGGTGTCAAAATACCCGCACCGCCCTATGCAATGGTAAGCTTTGAGAGTTCTCCGCATATGCTTTATAGGCAACCGTTCCCATTGACTCCCCATGTAAGTGGTAAATTAGCTCTGTTCCGACTGCTTAAAGAACTATCGCTTACCTTCGTCTAAGCGATAATTTATTTCATACCGTAAACTCACTATTTAGCCCTGTATAAACAGAACCATTCCAGAACGCTGCTATCACCTCCTCCCCTTCCACCTGTTGTTCCCTCTTGTTTTGGATTTTGGGCTCCCGTCTACAAACACCGCCGTAGCATAATTCAGTACTATTGATTCTACCCCTTAGATACGCCCCGCTAATCCTCTTCCGGTCAACATGATTCTTTTGATATCTCCGCCACCCTGGCATAATGGCCCGACCGGCATAGAAATATTTGCCCATCATTGAGTACCCTCGGCGTGAATGGACTCACAATGGCTCACTTTGGTGTCCGCAGTATCTGGAGTTGATCGCCTGCACTTATCTATTCACACCAGTAGGAAAATTACTACGCGTAGGGGCGGGCTCTGAGGCCCACCCACCGTAGAGAAAGGCGAAAATAGGCCCGGGTACTCTCGATAAGCCGCCCCAACCACCAACAAAGAAAGTTCTGGTTTTTGTTTTGTTTTTGTTTTTTTTCCCACTCCTCGCAGCATTTCAAACTCTTCCGTCCGTCGCATCGCCAATTCGTATTCTGAGGCTAAGGAAACTCTCCCTCTTACTCCTTACTGTAGCCATCACTTATTCTGAAAATCTGGTTGTGCCGTTTGGCTACATCCCAGAGAGTGGCCAAAGGTTCATATGTGGAGGCAACTTTTCCCGGCTGACGGACACTTGTGGTGTGGAGCGACCTCCTCTCCTATAATACCTATGAAAGCACGTTTACAGGACAGACCCCACCATCAATAAATAGGCGGTTTCCGTGAATATCTATGGTTTGCATGTTGACAAGAACTAAATTTCCGAACCATCAGTCACGGGAGTGCCAAATTTTTTCGACCCAGCTGTTGAAAATCACGGATAGTCACTCGGTTCCCTAACTTATCGGTGGTTCAGAGAAATACGTTCCTCTATTATTTCTTATGCTAGCAAGCCTATCTCATGCTCTGGAGGATAGTGTGCACATCCAAAGAATATCTATTATAAAATCGGGAGAGTGGTTGCTTTGTTGTGTTCGGGAATTGGTCTTGTATGTAAGGGGGAGGGGGGGGGGGGTGAGAGCAAGGGAGGGAAGGGAGGAGCATTAGCGCGTCCTTGATAAGCAATCCGTGAGAGCCCTATGAGAGCCGAGGGGTCGCACGGGGGGTGTTGTGTGTGTGTAAGAGAAATTTTGGGGTTATTGTAGGAAGAGATGCCGCTGGCTTGCACAACACTACTGAGCCGGTGGCCATATTCTCGGGAACAAGCACTACTGTAATTTCGAATATAATGAAAAGAACTGTGAAACACCCGTAAGTTTGGTGACTCAAACCTTCTTGGGAAAATAAAGACCCCCAGACTATCAGTAATTTCGGTGCTTCTGCGATATTTCCAAGAGTAATCTTCTCTGCCCTGGAGTTTCCAAGAATTTTTAGCTATTATACTTTCAGGAGCATATAGCATTATTTCTAATGATATTATAGAGAAACCAACCACAAACACTAGGGTGAAGTAGGCAAAGCATGAGGAAAGCCTATTTCTTGGTATCTTCCGCGATGAGGTATCGTTCACCACTAGATATTTCATACATCATTATGAGAATCCTAGTTACGGATATGCCATAAATTTAGAAAACTCTCTATGCAGTAAACCCTCAGGGTATGGCCCCACGCGCAGATGATAGGTAAGTAAGCCCGAAACCCTAGCTCAGATCTCAGAAAACAACTGGCTGCATAAATTGATCCCCTCTCCCATACAAAGTATATCATACCTACTCTAGTGATTTGGAGCATACAGCATACAACCCACGGCGCCTAGGGAAAGGTTCCCCTCACCACTCCGACGCGCCGATCCAAGTATGAGCGCCGCACGATATTCAGCCAGGGACCAGCAATCTGTCGCAAACAGCCGGGATCTTCGAACAGTGCTCCCAACCACCATCCGCTGCTTCAAAGCTCGAAAAATGCCAACCACGTACGAACGGGGTCACTTGCCAACCTACTCTACCATCCCGGCCCCATTTACTCCGCAAAGCATTGAACCCTTTGACGACGGAGCGGAATTCAATCAGCTCGAAGCACCAAGACTCCACAAGCACCTCATGGCCCTTCAGAAATTCCAGCACCTTATGACCCTGGCGGATAAACTCCTCACGGCCAGACAATGGGACGAGATGGTGGGGGCGGTGAACCGGTACGCTTGGAGGACGGACATGACTGCTTTGTGGCACAAGATGAGGATTGTGGTGGACTTTCTGGATTACGATCTTCAGGCGTTGCGGGACTGGAAGGAGTGGACCGAGGAGGGGGACAAGGATGGGAGGGTGATTAGTGAAAGGGGGTGTGCGGTTGGGTACTTTTCTGTTAGGGGTGGGGGATTCGAGCGGTGATGAAATGATGGACCAACGGGTGGGGAGGGGAGAAAGTGGGAGCGTGGTGGGTGGGTGGAACAGAGTGGACACCTGTTGTAACTTTATGAGAATACGAGTATTCAACTGTGCACCACAAAAGGGTGTGTAATGGGGGGCTTTGTTTGTGAGTAAATCTGTCTTGTAAGGGATCCCCGTCCAGTCTTTTTTTTTTGTACTGTGTTCTGATTGATTCACAGTACCTCGATTTCAACCCCACCTCATTATAATAAGCCGCGGTGTACCGATTACCTTGCTACAATTAACAGGCTTAGTGGAAGCTAGAATATGCTGTGCTACAAGCTGACCGTAATGAAAATCCGGACAAAAAAAATCAATTCACGCGCCCATTCAAAAAGCCCTGATGTAGTGAAGATTATATGGCGGGGAAGGGTGGTTGATTGCGACAAGCAGCTAACAAAACGGATTAGGATATGTTTGTGTAGGGTTCTCAAAGAGTAGTTCTCATGTTTAAATTTTCTGAATTCGGACGGCGTCGATCCTGCACAATGACCATAATGCTTGGGAAGATTCGCTATTCAAAGTTCATTGTTTTCCCGCTTCTGCTGCTTTGCTCCGTTTAACCAGCCAGCCCAGTTTCCCTGCATTCTACACCCTTGCACCCTCTAATTCTGGTTAGTCATCCCCCCTCACATGGTCCCCTTACAAGTGCTACCGATAGTCATATCCGTCACGTGAGGTATGATAACCGAAACGACGTGGTTCTTTTGCCCATCGTGCTTCATGTGACGGATATGTCTATCGATCGCACTCGTACTCCCGCTGTGCAGACCTCCTCACCCTACGGAGCACGAGGGATGCCAAACTTGGAGTTTGTTATCGCGAGGTGCCGCCTCATCCGCCGAACTACGAATTTCCTTCGGTGAAAGGCATCGAGTCTATCTCCCGATTCCCGCAATTCCGGTCATTGGTGATGGATCAAGTCTCGACCACCTACCACGGGTACTGGATTTATTTGGAAATCGCTAGCATAATACAGGTGCCGTTGAAGCGAGTTCCTGCACTTCACGGTCACCCCACTGCTCCGCTACTGAAAAAGCTAAATCTCACAAACAAAAGTAAGCGATAATGTAAGCCGCTTGTTCCGTGGCGGACCTTCCGCAAAATGTCTTGGAACCCCGCACTCCCTTGCTTTGAGCACGCCCGCCCTAATTTCCTGTGATAGGGATTGCTGCCCAATATTACCACAATAGCTGGGGCTCACTGGTCTTTTTTTTCTATCGCCCCTAGAAGATTGGTTCTCCACCGGAAGTGACCGGGTCGTGGTGTCCTCTCCCTTTTTTTTTTTTTAGCCACTAGAGTCTGTACTGATGGGGTCTACTTTGTTTCAGGGTGCCGAGGAGGGTGATCCGGGTGAAAGGCACCTTGTACGATAACTTTATGTTTGGTATGATATGTTTCATTTTTGGTTATGTAAGCCTTGTCTGGGATCGAATAACGTACCCTGTATGGGGCCGGGATCCGCACCGTAGGATTTTTTATAATGTCAAACCTCTGAACTTTGCCCAAAAAAAAAAATGTTAAATCTAGCACAGTGTGGGAATTCGAGAGTAGCGGAACAAAATCGGGCAGCAAACAGGTATCGTACCTCTGTCCGCGAATTGCGTTTGCGGTGCCGAGGAATCCCGTTGCTACCTGACTTTGTCCATACAAGTTACCCCCAAACTCATATAGAAAAACTACTACAATATCAGAAATACTTTCCACTCTTCCGGATTCCTTCTCACTATTGTTGGATGTCAATTCAGATTTCCATTTTTCCACTTTCCTAATCTGTTCCGACTAATTCACCTCCCCACTCGACTCACTTTCCCGTTCAATGGGTTACCCTACAACTTTCCAAAATGGTCCCTCCAAGCTCTATACTCCACACTATCCCTCAGATCGTTCGTCGAGTCTTGAACGGCCGCAACGAAGATCCCAAGATGCCTTCCTATACCCCGCACCATATCCGTCGCGTTCACCCGCTTTTCTTTTGCTTCCTTCGCCCCCTTTTCTCTTGCTTCCTTCGCCCCCTTTTCCCTTGCTTCCTTATCCTTGCCAAAGTTGCTCTCGGGCGAACCGCGCACGCTAATGCTAACTATACTTGTACTCTGCACCAGATCCATTTCGCTCACCCCCTTTCCTTTTGCTGCTGCCATATCCCTACCCAAGTTGCTATCGGGTGAACCTCCAACTGCGTCGTTCATGCTAATGTCCCCAGAGCTCAACGAAGGATCATTCATACTAACATCGCCCGAATCACACGCCCGGGTGATAGCTTGACCAGGCGCGTCGGCATCATGCAATCCCAAATTCGTCCCTCCCTCGAAGAATCCGAATTTCACTAGCTTCTCTACCTCCTTATTTTCTATCACTCCAGTGCTCGACACCCCGTCACCCTGAGTCGGACCCTTGGACGCCTTCTTCACCCCCCCAGCCATCCTAGCCCTTCGGTTCCTCCTCTTGGTCTGTGAGGAGGTACTCGACGCAGAGGACTCGCCCTCATCAAACCTGTTCCTCACCCGGGCCGCCTTAGCTTCCTCCAGCACCTCCCCAAGCTTCCGTGTCAGTCTCATCGAGGAGGTCTCCACACCCACACCACCTTCTCCCAGAACACCCTTCGCCATGGATGCCGTTTTTCCCTTCTCCGGGAGCTCTACTTCCGTTGGTAGATACCCCATCCGCTGACCATCTGTGGCGGATAGGTCTCCGGATGTAGAGCTCAGATTATGAGAGCTCGAAGAGAGATCCGAAGAGCTGGTGGAGCGCGCTGATTGAGGCAGGCCCTTCATGGCCCGGAGTAAAGCCGTTTGGGAAGCCGCCCTGGGGCGTCGGGATCTCCTCGGGGCCGAAGCAATTGGCGATCTTTGAAGGTGTTTCCTTGCTTTGCGCAATGGCGGCATGGTGAAGCTTGTTCTTTTTGTTTGCGGAATGTTGTAGCGGTTTGCTGAATCTGTTACTCTGCGGGGTTGCTGGTGATGCGGAAGATTAGCGGCTACGAGTGGGAATTTATATCCCTGAGGATATTGCTGGTCTTGAACGGAAACCCTCAAGACCCCAATAAATGTATCTTCATTTCCTCTAGACACCCGTGTTGAGAGATGCCCCGTGAGCCCGACTCCCACCTTTCAACATTATCACTCGAAACAAGATTTCGAGCGCCCCTACCTCTCTAACATACGGACTGAAGACTTTTATTCCGCAACTAGCATTTAACCGTACACTTTGATTTATCAAAACTTGTATCATGATACGGCACGTAGTAGACCGCCCAATCAACGGTTCTTCCGCTGGATAAGGCATTCCCGGAACCTCGAGGCAATGGCCCCCCGATAGCAATTACCCATCTAGTTTCGAATAGTAGAAATCCGTTTTCAAGTTTTCAGTGGCCGCCCTTGAAGAGAATAGCTGCAGTATGATACTATAAAACATGTTGGCCTTTCTAGTGTCATACCAGTCTTGAATGTTTTTTCCCTCTCCATCCCGTTGTGGCCCCACCCGCACAGCCATCTAACAAACGCCATAGAGCGAAGGCCGACCACCGAAAAGCCGACCGGGCCGTAGGAAAATGGCAACCGCATAGCTATGATACTGTTGTCCAACCTCCTTATAGTTCTCTGACAGCCATTACGCGGCCCATAGATTCAGGTTCGGGGGGTTTTTTTTTCTCTGATAAAGGCATTGAGTCCTCAAAGCATTGCTTCCATGTCGACACTCTAGTGCAGATTTTCTTCCATCACCCCTCGCCAAGATTATCTGCTTGTACGGGTATGGTGTCTCGGCACCGGGCTCACGTGCGTAAGCAATTGATCTCAATATGGACTGGCCAACTGAACTACCCACAAACTTGGAGTACTTGTTCGCCAATCAAGCTTAGAGCCCTTCCGGACTAGAGAGCACTCACGTCTTGGTATGTGTGCGGGTACTCGACTCGTGTGTGCGAGCCAAGAATGGGTACCTCTTCCAGAATAGCTCCCGAGACCCATGAAAAGTATAGTGGCCGTGCTGTTTGAGCAACTCAGATAGTGCAAAATACTGGCACCAGGTGAGAATGATATCATGTGCGAGACCATATTCTCGATGCTCAAGAAGTCTTTAGAGCATTGAATTGGATGAATGGATAAAGTTCCTGAAGGTAAGTATATAGGTGTGATTGGATCAAACTTCAATGTTAATATTCGGAATAGTGCGATGAAGGGAAAAGGTCTTACGAGCACTACAGGAGGAGGAATTACTGCGCTTTGTAAATATGTCGGATTTAGTATAATGGTAGAAATGTTTGTATCGAGGTTCGTGATATTTATTGTATGTTGTAGCGGCCTCATATGCACTACTCAAAAAGCAGCATCAACACTATACTTTTCACAGGTTTGGGAGAGCCATTCCGAAAGAGACGCCCATTATTGGGTCGGACACACGAGTGCAGTGCTATCAGACCCGCTAATGGACCAGTGATGGCCCGCGTGGGCATTCACGGTCTGCTAGGCTATTTATCCATCACGAATTCGTTGATACGTTCGTTGGAATTGTCGTATTTATTGGGGGGGGGGGGCGCCTTAGGGGCTGCTAAGAGGACTAGAGACGAGATGTTATACAATGGACAAGAGGATCCCGGACAGGTAGCAATGACTAGTAACACAATTCCCGCCTACCCTTTCCATCCACTACCCTCCCCCCCAGAGGGTGATCCTATCAGTTTCACCCTTCCCTCCTACTTCCCAACGAGGGAGAATCCTGGGCTCGGGCCGAGAGTACCAGGCAGCACCCTGCACGAATCCCCCCCTTAGGAGAAACGTGGGGTGGATGCCGGCGCTAATGGCAAGGTATTGTCTGCCAAGTTGTCAATTATACAGCTTCCAGTCGAAAGATCAGGAAATGCGGAAATGAAAAGCCAGAAACACGGTTGTTCAATTGGCTCGAGCCCACTGAATGCTCCAATAAATAGCCCTGAGCCTGTTTTCACATTTCCCAATCGTCTCTATCGGAGGGTGTACCGGTACCGTGCTATCGGATCCACTCTGATCCTCGGCCTTCCTTGATGGGTGGTGGTACAAGGAAATTCTATTAGCCGTCATCGGTTCTTGAGGGCCTTGTAAGTACCTATTATAAAGAGCGGATGGCAGAAGTACTCTACTAATAACGGTGTTGTCGAGGGCACCATGTGATGTCAATTGCATGAGGTACAACCTAGTTCTGAGATGAATCTTCAATTCAACAGTTCACCTGTGAATTGGACTGCTCCGGGAGGGAAGGAGTGCAAGAGAGATAAAAAGTGAAAGGGAACAAATTGTGGTAACTCACAAACTTCTGTCTTGGTGCTCCCTCCCTCTCCGTGGTTATGGGCATTTTGTTTTGCGAAGCTCCCTGGGAGAGAAGCAAGCTAACGTCCATCTGAAGCCGTCCCGGGCATGTAAAATGTCCACGTAGTGGGCCGGCGAGATTTGTGGTCCGACATGTTTTTGGAGTATATCCTGCCCGCTTACGCAATCTCAGGACGGCGGCTCCCGCCCTAAATGATTGGAAAATGAGGGTGTATCGTATTGCGAGAAACTGCTGATAATCAGTGTGCGGCTCAATCCTGCCAAACTTTGCTCCCCCAAATGTCATGCGGCCTGCCCTACCGGGCGCGGTGTAGATTCCCTATAAAAAGACCGCCTTCTTCCCCATCCCATCCCTCCTCCTCCTCCTCATCCTCCTCCGCAACTCTGTCCCCTTCACACTCGTTCAGTAGCTCTGTCGCGCAACTCTTCTCCTGCAATTTCACAAAATCTTTCCTCTCCACTCTCACTCGTCATTCAATATGTTCTTCTCCAAATCTATCTTGGTTGCTCTTATCAGTGTCGCCGCTGTGGCGGCTAGGGTTCCGTCCCCTTCCTTCCCTGACTTGATTGGAAGCAAGTCTGTTTACATCACGGATGACTCCACTCTCTCCGGCGGCAGCAGCTTCACTCCGGCCCCTACCGTTACTACCGCCACCATTATTCAGACTACTGAGAACCTCGGAGACGCTGGGCCGATTATGCCTGCGCACACCCCCCATCCGTGAGTATCTCTTTCCCATCCTGTCTCAATGCCATGATGATTGACAAATCATTTGACTGATAGGACCTATATCAACAGTTCTGTGATTCTCACTGGGACTGTTACCGGCACCATGGGTTCTCCGGGAAATTCCAGTACCTCGCTTTCCCCCTCTCCATTCCTATAAAAACAAGACTAATACCCATCACAGAGAATATCTCCAAGACCATGTCCATCACTGGGTCCTCCACTAGGTTCCCCCTCATGCCAATTGTCACCGTCAACGGGACCAAGCCCACCGGGACAGCTACTCCGAGCAACGGTACCAACCGCACCACCACTAGTGCGACACTCACTCCAATTCCCACCTCGTTGGGATTGACTGTTACCCCCTACGGAGCCGCCTTCCTGGCCTTTCTGGTTGGTTTCGTTGTGATGGGATTGTAGAACTGGCTTGGTGGAGGCAATTCTTTTTCTCTCATTCATTTGTATCGTTTTTCTCGACCTGTTTGTGCATCTCACGAGATTCCATGGGGAGGCTAGAATGGGAGAACGGGGAAAATTCTCTTGTCAGTTGATGTCATAACAACAAATCAAAATGTTCTTATAACAATGAGAGTTTTGTTTCCAGACACTATTTACTTTTTTCCTTACAGGCAAAATTTCAAAGTGATACATCCACTTGAGTATTTGTGTAGCGCTGAAGGCATGGGTCACAAATTCCAAAGGCTATGGGTTGGCAGGGCGTTCCTAGCGGAGATTAAGTTACCCAAGTGGGGTGCGACTGAAGGAGCATCACGACGACCGTAACGCGAAAAAAATACCCAATCTCTCATTTTATTGGCGAGTGAACATCCTTCGTTGCTGCAAAAGTAAACGTCCCGCACCGCTCAACCTTTCAAAGGTCCACAGGATTAAAAATGGCCTGAACCCAACCCAAACAAAAAGGCCGGCAACCACCCGCCTCGGCTTGTTTAATTCCTGGGCTAAGCCGAAACTCTCAATTTTTCGGTAGAACATCTGGAACTCATTTGATCGTTCTACAGGCAGTATAGGTACCGGAGGGTGGGACCCAGTGTATTACACGCCGGGAGCTGGGGGAAGCATGAAGATTCCCGGTAAGCGTGGTTTTAAAAGGCTCTTAGAACATTCAGCGATGATATACCATGAGAGCCCACCGAAGGATAGTCTAGAAACCCGATCTCACAAACAGGCTCCCCCTTTGGCTCAAAAAACATGTACCAAATACTACCCATAATAACGGGTGCCCATAACAGTGGACACGGCAACGGTCAGCCAAAAAAAAAAAAACCCCCCCGAAACTGGGTTCAAGGCAAAGGGCAATGAAATCGTAACTCGGAACTATCGGCATTGGGAATGAGTGATGACGCAACCTCAGAAGACAAGCATAGTAGAATTATTAATAACAATAACCTAAACTGTTTAAACAGGAACATCAATAATATCACACCCAGAAAGCATCGTTCAAGCAGCCGGGATGTCACGGAGAAGTGTTGGGTAATTGGTATACTCTACTCATGGCTTAAATGATTGCTCCCGGACAAAATAGGGTAATTCATCTCCTTGCTGAGTTTCATTTCCTTCATCTGGGAGCTGTTAGATTTCATGTGGCGCTTGAAGCCCTGTTGGAATCGCCCGAGCGATCACGTGGAAAACGATCTGAGGAATAAACGCCTTTAAATATGTGGGTCCCATGTGCTAAAGGCGCTATGAGAAGGAAGATCCATTGCGCACCAGCGACTCACGTGGTGCGCTTTTGAATTCCCCCCCCCCCCATCGAGGAATGTTGCACTGGTTAAGCTAGGCATTGAACTTGTGGTTACATGTGTATCGTATCTACAGCGATTGACACATTACAGCGCTATCCTCCTCCTCCCTCAAAGTCCCAGTTCTGAGAAATTCTTAGAAACCCGGTCTCGGTTAAATGGACCCGGAAAATACCCAATCGCAAAATAGCTTCCGGGGCATTTACACCCAGGGGCCGCATTCACAGCCAATAAGTGGTCTTTCACAAGTGGTCCGAGTGCTCGCTCGTGATCCTGTAGAAAAAAAACTGGCTAGGAGATATATTTGTAGGGTTGCTTTGGCTCATTAGCTACTATCTAGGTAGGGTATCTCGCTGTGGAAGTCTATGCCAGGAAAGAGGATGAATATCCCATCCGTGCCTATTCCTAGATGGGGGTGATGTTGTGTTATCGTATGAGTGCTCGGCATACGATGGGTATGTGCCGGTCTCTAAACATTTAATTCCCTTCTCCTGGAACGGGATTGATCCCAAATATCTGTGGAAATCAACTCTTGGATCGCATTCACAGAAATATTTGTGAAGGAGTCTTGTTAATACTGAAAATTTCCCCAAAGGGGAGAAACTATTAGGAGGGAATGTGCAGGCCACCATCAGGGTGTATATATTATCTTCCGATATTATAGGAATCTCACTTGTATTTTCGTCGCCTATTCAAAAAAAAAAAAAGACTGGGTCTTGATAAAATCCGGGGTTAGTTTCGTGCCTCCCAATGTTATCAGATTTCCTAACTTTCAAGTACTGAGCGTGGCGATAGCGAGTCCGGAAACCCTGGTCGGGTAGGGTTTGTGGTCAGGACTATGGGTAAAACAAGGGCTCATTATCATCTATTGCTCGCCGAGTATATACTCATAATGCCGGCCGAACAACCTTCCCGCCAAGTGCCCCCCCCCCCCCTCGCCGGTACCTCATATATCGGCACCTGATTTCCTCTAAAAACCGTACAGCCCGGGCGTGTTTCCCTATAATAACTCGTGGACCCTATAGCTGATATTGTATAATATAATCTTGGTCAAAGGTCTCAGTATTGAGCCGTCCCCTTGCGAGCAAGGGGTTCAGATATCACCTCGCATCTCTTTCCCACTGGCAGCGAGGCGGCGCCAGTGGGATCCCATCTAGCTAGAATTAGATGCCGGATACTCTGTAGAAAGAGAAAGATTTCCCCCTTTATTCCCTGCCCATTACCCTATCACCGGGTTTCCTTGCTATGGGCTAGGTCCAGTCGGTCGGAATTGCCATGCCTCTGCGTCAACAGCACTATTGCTCCCGCTTTCCCTTTGTAGCACTGCAAATAAGTGGTGTTAGGAAACCATTGTGCTCTAATTTTGGGCTGACGGAATCCCGCGCGAGGATAGACCTACTACTTATTCGATCCTACTCTCTATCACACTCGAGAGAAGCGCCCGGCCTCCCCACCGGCCTAATCCCCCGTCTACATATATACAAAGCAATAGCCCAGTTTCAAACTACTCCTAGTTTTAGAAGTTTCCAGGACTGAATGGAAAATTGTAATATCCAACTGGTGAAATGATTTCTGGTGACCTCTGAGATTGCACCGGTGAGCATGGCATGAGTGCTCAGTAGGACAAAGGCTTTGGAACCCTCAAAAGTCGTACAAACACTGCAAGGAAAAAATACAGTCATAGTAAATCTGGGAGAGCAAAATTATATACCCTCAAAAGCTTAGGTCAGGAGCCCTACTATACAAAAATAACTACAGATATGCCCGAAAAAATAACACCGGACAGCTTACGGAAGGGCAGACAAGAAAGAGGGGAGAGAGGCAGTGTCCGGCGGGTAAGAAACACCCTTGCAACTACGATGCTGCTTTAACAACACACTCCCACTCTTCTTCAGCTTCTAAAAATACCACCAGGCAGCCATACCCAATACCCCTCTCGTACTATAACCATTTAAATCTACAACAGCGCCAACAGCAAAGAACGGAAGATGTCACAAGCTACCATCAATAACAGCAAGAACTCTTCAATGTATGGAACAACTATAGAGCCGCTGCTGGTGACGGATCTCAACTCCCAGCCGGCCATCACCTCCGGAGGCCAGGTTATGGCATTGGGACATCCAAGAGCGCCGTTTCGACAATGCGGAGGAATAGCCCATACAACCTGGGGAATTCAGAAGTCCGGCTGAGGGAAAATGAGGGCGACAGTGCAGTCATGTTTTGCTCTGGATATCCGGGGCAGGTAAGGCGTTTATTAGGTAACAAGGATTCTTCGCTGGGAAGAGATGAAAGAGAGCCAGTACTAACAAATCCCAATCTTACTTCTCTAGTAGTAGATAGGCTATGCGATTAGGCTAGATGGAAAAATACCGCCGCTAAGTATTTTTACTTTGACTTCACCGCCCGCAAGGAGCAGTTTGCAATTAGTGTGCTAGGCTCCCTACTGAAATAGAGGGCCAACAGCATGGAAAGGACCCCCGAGGAAATATCATAGGACTTGAAGAGCAGAAGAAGGCTATTGGTGGATGGGTACCGCAACTTCCTAATATCTTGAAGATGCTACAGACCATCGCATCCTCCCAGTGCATATTTATATACATTGACGGTCTGGGGTAATGTGCGGCAGTGCATGGAGCCAAGATCCTCAATTCGCAGGCACACGAACATTCCAACCGGAAGACCCCATATACAGGCCGAGATTGAAAATAGTCTTACAAGATGACCAGCGCACCTGGAGGACCTGGCAAAGACGATATTACCAGATACCTCCGTGCCAGAACGAGCGGGGTCAAAACTGCAGATGCCATGAACGAGAGTCTGGGGGTGGAGACGTGCTCGAGAAGATCCCTGAAAATATATCAGAAATGTATGCTGGTACTAGGAACCCCGTCTCACGTTACCCATTAGTAAATATATCTAGGTATCGGGGAGATCATACAAGAATCGACAAACTATGGGAAGCGGGAAAAGCTCAGCAAAATGACAGACGGATTGGATTAGGAGAATCCTACGATGGCACTATGGAGTGGACAAATGCAGAGGATGGGGACAAATCGAGAGCGGGATGGTAGCCTTGATTTGGGTTGTCCATAATAGGCATGAGGAAGTGGTGGAAATGCTGCTTAGGTGAGAAATTTCAATCACGGCTGGCCGGACCTTGGTCACACAACGCCGCCAAACATTGCTCTCGTATGCCGCGTGGAATAGGCGTGATGGAGCGAGGGAAATGCTACCCGGACAGGGTGAGGCCAGCTCTGACAACCAAGATAGAGACGGCCTGATACTGTGCTTTATTGTCGCTGGGAGTGGATATGAGAAAGTGATGAAAACACTACCCGAGCTGGAAGAGGTCAACCCTGGCAAGACAGCCAATCATGGTAAAATACTGTTCTCGCTTGCTACCAGATATGGCTGCTACATTCCCGAAAGCAGTATCCCCCAGCGCGATGCGAAGACCAGTGACACCGCCGCGTATAAATCACGCCCACCTCTTCTCCTTCCGAATGTGTTACTCACGGTAATTTTTTTGGGACTCGGTAAACCACCTCTCGCAATAGAAGGGAATCCCATGAGGTGGGGGTGCACATGTCCTCGTCACACCCGCCTAAACCCCACTAGAGACTTTCTTATAGTGTTGGGCGAAGATCTAGGAGCCTCCCTTTACAGATTATAGTAAAGTTTGGTTTCTAGAGGGAAATGGTCCTATAGTTGTAAGAATCGGTTTACATTTGGCAGCATTTTTTTTCTCATAATCTTTCACTAACTATAAATTCTTTGCCTAGCAGTTTTTATTTTCTTTTCCTGATGTGGCGTTTTTCGGTCTTTTGCT